TTTATAAACGTCGTAGTAGTGAAACAGAATGTAGTTTTATTCAAGCTTTCCTGGGCCATTGCAGAACTGCTTGGCTGTATAAAAAACTACAGTTATCTAGTTTATAAACGTCGTAGTAGTGAAACAGAATGTAGTTTTATTCAAGCTTTCCTGGGCCATTGCAGAACTGCTTGGCTGTATAAAAAACTACAGTTATCTAGTTTATAAACGTCGTAGTAGTGAAACAGAATGTAGTTTTATTCAAGCTTTCCCTGGGCCATTGTTAAAAAGATCATATTTTTGTTTAAGATAAGTCATTAGAAGTTGAAATGATTAACTACTGGGCAGAAGATAAAAAAACAACAAAAAACGTGATGCTACTCAAAGAACGTTGATAATTTCAGTTGATGTTCTGAAAATGACTTTAAAAGCAACGAAACAGTTTTATTTCCGTATAAAAGAATGACTTTTTAAAATTAAAATACTAGTTACGGACATTAAATTGTAAGAGCGACTTATTATTTATACAAATCTACAATTTTGAGCAACTTGTTCTCTTCATAATCTCAGTTTCTTGTTCATTTAATAACTTAAAAAAAAGTATAAAAGTTTGGCTTTTTTTTCTTATATAACTTCACAAACTTTCTGTATAAGTGTCAATGATTGATAAAAAAATTGACCTCCCGGGCTTCAGAGTCAGTTTTTAATTATAATTCACCGAAGTCTCCTTTACCAATTTTTTAAATTATATTTATATATTTATTCATTTATATATTTTTGTCATACTCTAACGGCCATATTAATCTGTAACATTATTACATCAGATTAGGTCCACATTAACCCTCAGGTCTTTTCAAACACATCTTACTAAACTATTTGTCCATTAAATGTTTTTGGTTACTGGGTTCCTAATAATATATGAGTCACACGAGAAAATGTAAACATAAATACTACCAATGTTGTGGTTAATCACGCTAGTTACAGTTGAAGTGGTTTATGCAGTTTACATATAAAATCAGTGATTTCACTCGATCTGTTTCGTCATCTCTCAAAAAAACAAGAACAACATAACTTATGTGGACCCCTAACGGTAGAAAATTTCGATAGAGAAGTTGATAATTTCAGGGTTAATAATATCAGAATCTCAATATTTTATCAGTTAAAGTTTTTATACCACCCTAATGCTGTAGCTATATTACGTTATAACTTTATGAATAATATTTTTAAATCTCATAATTATGTCATTAACCCTTTTCATAATTATGCATGCAAGTTTTCTTATATAATTAGTTTTTCAGTAATGTCATTAATAAGTCGTTACTTTGACATTTTTTTC